GAATGGATAGCAGTATCTGACATTGAACGTATCAAGTTATTCAAAGTTCTTGAAGACGCAAGTATAATATTATAATATGTAATGAGATCGGTTAATGGCCCAGGTCATTTAAGGGTACGTAAAATAAATGATTTTCCACAAATAACTATAGACGGACGAAATGTTGGATCTAATTTATTAGGGCTCACACCAGACGGAAGTAAACTTGTGGTAGTTTTTATGAATTTAGAAATAGTAATATTTGAACTTGATATTGAAGTAGGGGATGAAGTTGATGTCACAGTTTAGAGCGATTTGATGAATATTCACAAAATCCCGACTGTGAACTATTGACTACCTTGACTATAAGTGATGACCTTTTGAATCGGATTAATGTGTAAAATTTGGAAACTCTTGAGGTATTTGAACATTATCATTTAAATATTTGGTTAAAGATAGACTAATTAAATTAATAATCATAAATTTTTCGCCTAAATTTATAATAGCATCCATCATATGACTATCGATAAATTTTCTTCTATTAACACATCATTAACATTTCATCCATTTAAACCTATACTTGTAATAACTTTAACGTCAAATCAATTTTATCTTTTGATTTGCAAAAAAAAGAAATTAACTGATTGGTCACAACAATATTCAGAAATGCTTCCACGAGATTTTCTTAACCTTAAAGATAAGATCATGGGATGTTCATTTAATCCTCTTTCTGACAGTATGATCCTATAGGGAGCTAATTATTTATGCTTGGTGGATTTTAATAAATGTAAAATAGAAGATACTGAAGAATTACTTTGTATTAGATGTTCAGGATGGCAATCTTAACCGAAATTTTTAAATAAACCTATGCAAATAGAGCAATCAGATGAAAAACGACAAGAAGAAATAGATCGAATACGATAAATTTTCAATTAGTTACTAGATATCAAATATTAATATATTTAAATTTTATAGAACATAATCAATTAGTCATAGTAGAAAGATCATTTACTTTTATTTTAGAGAATCTACCACCATCATTTTATAAAGCAAAATATGGTACATAAGAGCGAAAAGTATGATATTAACTATTTTATTTTTATAATAAAATGAAAAATCTCATTTAGTAGAAATTTCGTATTAAATAAAGTTGTGTTAGGGATCATATATTTATCAGGGTGTGGTTAATAAGGTAACGTCGGATCAGGAAAGTAATATTTACACAATGGTGGAGACCGAGGATGCGTTGATGGTTGAAATATACGTTTTATCTATCAATTAGTACAATTTAAAGAGCATGCTAAAGCTCTGATACATGGAGGCGCTGCTGTACAGGTTTATGTATAGGGATCCAAAATTTCATTTAGCATATCTGTATAGGGAACTGATGATAATAATTCTGTTCGAAGATATGAACCTGTTTAATAAAAGCATATTAGGTTTATAATTTTTTCATAATGTATGATCATATTAAGTTAGACCAACTTTTTGCAAAAAGTATATGCATACTTATTTATTTTTATGGGAGGTAAGCTATTAAAATCACGTTACGGAACTCGATTTTAATAGCAAACATCCCATATTCTCAAGTTCTTATTACATGATTTCAATGATGAACGCAATTTCCCAAAGTTGGATTCCAAAATCGATTAATGACTGCTATAAAAATGTGTAAATCAAACAAAATGAAATGAAACATGTCATATTTAGTCTTTGCTTTCTTTAGCAATAGCTAATTTATTTGGATTATTTCTTTAGGTAGCTTGCTGAGCTTAGACTAACGAGTTACTTTTACATCGCAAACTAAGACAAATTCACAAATGCATTAATAATATACTATGACTGGAACGATGTTCCACATTATATTTTATCAACATTTAATTTTCATTAAATGCCTCAAAATTCAGCACAGTTACACGAAGCAAAAGTGTACTACCAAAAAGAACATTCAGTAAGAGTGAATCGAAAGTGTTGCATTAATTTTTTTTTTTTTTACGGAATTTATGCAATAGATCTAAAATTCATAATCCTTTACGGAAAAAAATTAACTGTAAAAGTTTTCCTGAGCAAAGAAATAACATCATATATTCACTTGATTCTCTGGGTACATCGAAAATGATCCATTTATTGAATCTAAAGTTCAACTGTCACTCACTATCGATATAGTATTAGAGGAGTAATAATAGTTTTATTATTGGCCGACATACAGTATGTTTCGTATATCATAACTGGTATATCATGCGAACTTTAGGTCGTACAGGAAGGAAAATAAATCATAATATTAAAATAAATTATATATATACTAGCCCACCTTGATATATACTAAAAAAAAATATCAGCAAAAAAATTTTGTAACTAATAAAATAAAGCAATTGGGAAAAGATAATTGTCATGTATTAATAGTGGTAGAATTAGGAAATTTTAAAAATGTTTAATACGATATTCGCAGAGAAATTGAACCACACATGTTGAAATCAACAATGTTCCTGACAATTTTTTTCATAAATGATGCGACGTACAATTTAGATTTTCCTAGCGTAAACACGAACAGATCGAATATAACTATTTAGCTCAAACCATTCTTCTTTTAAGGTTTTTAGCATTTGATCATATTCTTCGGAGTTACTTGTAAAATTGGCATCAGAGGGACTTTCATATTTTCGTAAAATCTTACCATATCGTCATTCATCTATATAACCGGAAAAATCAATTACTCCAGAAATTTTGGAAATTCGGAAACATGCCAGGCTTAAAAACCTCTTTCTTACATACCGTTTGACCAAGTTTACCGGCTTCTCTACCCCATATATAAGTTTGCCTTCTTCTTTAATATCTTCAAATTTTCCTTGTTGCTCAATATAAGATTTTAACTTTGAAACCATATTTTTTTCAAGATCTCGTTGCTCGCATAAAGTTATCACTAAACAATTTCTAAAGTCAATATAAAACCTAAAAACGACCGTATTGGATGCAAAAAGAAAATAAAATAAAACAGGATCGTAGGGGGTAGGGTCCTAGTAAGACCGGTCCGGACCGGTTTTTTATAGAATATGATGATCTCACATAACTTAAGTTGTTTTGCTGCGGCAAAGGAAAATCAATGTTAAATTTTATTTAAAAGTAAGGGAAAAAAGTTTTATTTTACTACAAAATGATGTACTCTTTTAATTTGATTTTTTTTTTTTTTTAGATAATTCTCTTATTATTTTATTACCTATTATAAAGATGATAACGTTACAATTGTTCAAAATGAAGAAGATTTTCAGGATGATGATGATGATGCTGATTTTGATATTCAAGAGGAATTGAAAATATCCCGATTTATTAGGTCAAAACAAAAAGGAATTTCTAAATCAACTTTATGGGAACATTTTGATCTTAAAAATAATCGTCCTCGATAATGAAGAAATTAGTCAACGATTTCCTAATAATGAAGATCATAAAATTATTAATGTATGTATGTAATTAAAAAATTTATATATTCTAATAACTTTTCTAATTTTTAATAATATACAATGCAATATAATATATAATGTATACGATCGGTTTTTTTGGGTATTCAAGAACATTTACATTTGATTCAATATAAAAATGATGATGAATATATAATGGCAAATGTAATTTATCATAAATTAGAGAAGTATTTAATAATTTTAGATGAATCATCACAAATTTCTTTATTGCTAGATCTAAGAGCAAAGCTATCTGTATTCAAAGATGAAAATAAAATTAACAAAGCAAACTTAATATTAAAGTTAAATGGATATCTCTTAACATCTACTTCAATTATAGCATCTATACCAGGTGATATTACAAATACAAGAAAATTTTTTCGGCAATTATGAAATAATAATAATAATTTACTTCAGCTATTTTATCATAAGCATATAATATTCAAGAAGAATTTAGAAATGCCATGAGAAAATCAAAGAGATCCTTATTATGGTGGTAATAACAACAAGAATGTTTTCCAATTTTAAGTCAAATGGTGAGGATTATTTGTATATTCAATCTACAAGTGTAGCTACAGAATAAGCTTTTCAATTGTTGAATTAGTTATTTCACCATTAAGAAATAGATTAGAAGCAGAAACAGCTAGGGCAACATTGTGTTTAAAGAATTGGTTTTATCAAGGTGTTTGTGAGAAATAATATATGTACAGTTAATGTAGAATATAGTGTTTTGTAAAGAAGAAAGGAACACATTTTTTTTTAATATTAAACAATCTTATTTAGTATATAAATTTTATATTTGTATTCATTTATAATAAAACAAAACTTATTTAATCTTCTATAAAATTAAACTTTAATACTATATATGCTAAACAATAACATGAAATATATAATACTTTACCAGTATTTTTTTCACTATATATTTAAATATATTTAATTAAATCCGAACAAATTTTTGGGTGGGTGTTTGGATCTACCCATGTTTTTGGTCGAAATCGATTTATGCACGAGAAACTATGCAACATTCGTGGTTATATTTACTTGAGTAAATAGTCATTCGTATGATTATTACATATTGCATTGTGTACATTTCTTGCTACATCGAGAAAATTCGAGATTAACTGATTAGTAAATCTACAAGATTCAAACCAGCCATGTTCAGGTTTTTTTCGTACATGAATAATTCGATTATTTATTTATTATTCGGGATTTCCTTCAAACAAAACGAGCGTACAGAAATAATTTTCATATTAATTATGACAGTACAAAATTAGTATTAGGAGGATTAAAAATTTTGAAGAAATGGATTAGGTTTTCTTCTGATTTCGGCACAATTTCATTTTCTCTTCGTTGCAGTTACAGATTCTTTTTTTTAAATAATATGGGAGCTAGGCTTTTGAAATAAGATCATGGGACACCTTCAAGCAAAAATGAGAGTTTTGATTCAATGATATATGAACTTTATTTGGTTTTTATAGTCTATTATTTTATTACAATTAGGCCCCGGAAAATTCATATTAGGTTTTAGATATTGTATATAATTTCAAATGTTATAAAATTAGTGTAACGATGCTGCGTAGGGTGAATTTAATAGTAAAATTTTATAATGGTAAAATTTTAAATAATACAAAATAATAATTTTTAATAGTAAAGTTTTAAATAAATAAATTTTAGTATCTTATTAATTAATTCGATTCAACATTTAAAATTAGAACAATTTATTATTGCTTGGAAAAGTTTACTGCGGTGCAACTAGTGCTCCGAAACGATCGAGTCGACCCGGGTTATTTGAACCGCCTCGAATTTTTTCTCGAGTCGGGACTATCATTTTTATGACACGAGTCCTAATTCAAAAAAACCCGCCGGGTCAGGGTCTCGTTTTTGCTTGACCAGAGTCGACCCGGGTCGACTTTGGTGACCTGGATGATCTGATTTAAACAAAATCAATATAAATTGACGCGCTAGACTTTTTTTTACGCGACTTTAATTTGTAACAATTAATTAATGAATGAAACTATCGACGTTACCGATAGTACAACTTCTTCTAGAAAACGAAAAACATTGCGGAGTGAACAATTACAGGTAAAAAAAAAAAATGTCATTTATTAAACATTAACTAATACATTTTTTTATAAAGCAACAAGTGTTTTAGTAGAACTTGTTTGTTCTGGCGGAACCGATCTGATATCGATCAAAAGAAGTGGTCTTAAAGCTAATACAATTCGGTGGAAAAAAGATGTAAAAAAAACAATTAGGATTAATGCTCAAAAAGAAAATAATAAATTTTAAAAATAAAATAAACTTTATATAACTTTTTTTTATTTACGGCATTAATATAAAATATATATAAATGAAAAAAAAAATTCTGAAAAGCTTCTCACCGTTTGCTTAACTTAAAATGACACTCTGCGGGTGGCTCAGGCCCTTTTCTTTTCTTTAGATTCCTCTTCGAAATCGGATGGTTTCTGTTAGAATAAATGCATTCGTTGTTTGATTTTTATTTTGTTACTCCAATGTTTTATTAATTAGACTGTATATAAAAGAAATTTTTGAAATATTTAAAAAATAAAATATGTAAATTACTTTGAATTATCTTAAAAAAAAAAAAAAATAATTAATTATTTTTTCAAGAAATTTCTTGATTATAAAAAAAAAAAATTTAAAATTAAATAAATTTAAAAAGTAATAAAATAAATGTAATGATTTGTGGTAAGTATTTTAAAAATCAAACCGCCTTCTGCGTTATTTTCTTGATTTTTAAGCAGTGTCGAGGCGCAGGTAAGTATTTAAAATTTTTTTTCTATATATTAAACCACAGTCCATTAAGCTAGCATAAAGTAACCCTTGAGATTTCGGATTAAACAATAATCGGGTCGAGTCGAACAATGAGTGGGTCGAGTCGAATTCGGGTTCTGTAATTATTAACGGGTTCGAGTTCGAGTATTCCTTAAACCCGACCCGACCCGACCCGACCCTTACGTGCAACATTTTCTTATGATTTTATAGTTTAGCATGTAATGGGACCATAATTTGGTCGGTTGCGATGGTTACAGTTATTCCCATTTCCGAGGAGATACAATAATCAGCGAAGGAATTTAAAGAAACAAAAGAAGAATAATTATTTTAGTAATCCATTTACTGTAAATATTTAAAATTAAAACAAAAAAATTAAAATAAAATAAAAAAAAATAAAAAATTTTATTTACCAAATTACCGTGTCAACGGAGCTAGCCATACGAACGTTCCCGTAACAAAATCGAAATTTTTTCGTTAGCATATTGCGAAACATAAATGATTAACGACTATACAAATTGATACGACTGCAAAGAATAAAAACAAATAATTTTAAAGTGACAAATAAAGATCTCCCATTATTGGCTCGTATCTTCAACATGGGATTTATGTAAAATACTTACCGTAAAAAGCCTTTACAACCAATATCACTACATTCACCATCGACCAGTGGCAGCAATAATAAATATTAACAAGTTAAAATTGTTATTTTAGAAATATCTTAGAAAAATCATGAGATAATTTTTGTTGTACATTTTAAAATAAAATGTTGATACGGAAAGAAGGATTTAGGGTTGTTATTATTGAGTTAGAGTGTTAGGTTTGAAAAAAGGAAGTGATTTTCTTTGTTGAATACCATCATCATTACATTTATACTACTATAAATTCAACCATTATGTTTTTTTTTAAACAAAGGATTAGCAAACTAAAATAACTTTAATTATTTAAATATTTTAACATTGTTACGGATAATGTTTTTAATGATAAGAAATTGAATGGAAAAAAAAAAAATATTTTTTAAAAAGGGAATAAATCAATTCTTTCATAAAATTTAATTACCTTTTTTAGGTATGAACCTACCAAATTTGTGAATTTTTAAAGGCCAATTAGCCAAAAATGGCCATAGTGAAGATTAGAACCTGTGTAACAATTGATTTATTGTTAGATCCCCGTGGAATAACTAATACTAATTTAATTAGTTAATGTATATATAAGTATTTAAATTATTAGGCATTTTTTTCTATCTACTTCGGTTAAGATTAAATCATCTTGAATTGATTCATCTTCCTTTGATTTATCTTCCTTTTATTTTTTTTGAAATCTCGTCTTAACATTAGTGTTTTAAATGACTTTTTTAAACGTTGTATTAGGGGTATAGGACACTTTGTGGTAATGAAAAAAGAATATCAAGTGATTTACACGTGATAGCGATAAATTTCTCAGAAACGGTTTTATAACCTAGGATGAAATTCTACGAGCAACCTTTTAAGAATATTCTTCTTTTTAGTGCCTTTATATTTTATCTAATACCACGAAAAATGCGATATTTGACTTTAATAAAGTTACGTAAAATTTTAGCTATTCCTAGGTCGATGATCATATAAAATCTCAAAATTGGATCGGCCCACAATAGCTGA